CAGAACAAAACACAACAAATACAACGGCCATAACATGCCCAGAAGTTAGTGTTCCAAACATTGCCCCAAGCTCTCGCACTATTTCCAGCACTTGTTTAACGTTTCCTGAGCTTTGGAAGGGGTTATATAGATAAAAAAAAAAAAAAAAAAAACTCACACAGAAAAATCTGATTATAGATTTTTATTTTATTATTTTCATTTTATGTGTATGTGTGTATTGCCTGCTTGTGTGTAAGTGCATCTGTGTCATGCAATGCCCGCGAAGGTAAGAAAACGTGTCAGATCCCAATTTGAACTCAGGTCTTCTGCAAGAACAACCTGTTCTTAACCACTGAACCGTCTCTCCAGCCCCGATTATAGATTTTTATATGGCTTTGACTATTTTCACCTGGTGTAGTAGATTTTATTGGAAATAATAGTAAAGAAGATTCAGGAAACTCACTGCATTTAGTTGATGCAACATATATATTAAGGCTATTAAAGAGTAAATAAAGAATAAATCATCTAGTGTACATGAATATAAGAGCTCGCAACAGAATAAAAATTTTCTGATTTACATTCTTGTTTACTTATATTTTAACTTTTTCAAACCATTTAAGATTGTGATGAGTTATAATGCACTGTAGGATATGTTTATCCCCAATGGAAAAGAAGTGAGGATCTTGCCTTTAAAAAGCTTACATTTAAGGAATAGTAATTGCATGTATGTGAATGGATTTGTATCTATTTTGGGAACTTTGATTGTATGAGGATCTCATGAAGAGGCTTGAGACATGTGGAGCACTGCAACTGGAGAGTAACAATTACTTCAAATTTGAAAGCTACAATTACAATTATAATTACAGTAAAAGTGTACTGTTACTTATTGCAACGCATATCTTATCTATAGTTCAAATTATGAACATTGCCATTTGTTTATATATGACAAATCCCTTACATGAAAAATAAAATTAATATTCAATATAATATAATGCTTTTAGGTTGTTAAAAATAGATTGATGTGTGTTCTAGAAAATCAGTAGATTTCAGAATCAGTACTAATCCCCTGTGTGACAGAAATACCTTAGAAAAAGACTCTTTGGAGAGGGGAGATTACAGTACAGATGAAAAAGCAAATGATTTACTCAAGAAAAATTAAGCTAATTTAAAAAAAAACAGATAAACATATTCAGAGTTGTGTTGATAAGGGTTTGGTATCTGAAATTTTGAACCTTGGGTAAATATTTGGTTTCAATTATACGTTTTGGACTCTGGAGTTATATAACTTACAGACAAAAGTAAGATTGAGAATTAAGTGAAATATCTACCATTCGAATGATAATGAAACAAGTTGCCATGCCTTCAGGCAGTGAAGGTATACAACAGGGTGTGCTATTTGTAAAGAGAGGACTAGGTTGTGATTTTTTCATAGGGTCTCAACCCCCCTCCCTCCTAAACAATTTTTAAATTTGAACTTCGAGCACATTTTAATAAGTTTCCCTGTAGCTTGATATGTAGCCCAGGCTGATCTTAAATTTGCAATACTCCTGCATCAGCCTCTCATGGGATCCTTTATTCAACTAATATTTATTAGGTGATTTTCATGAATAAGTATTGTTTGTAGTAGCTATTATCTGTACATTGGTAATAAAATCATTTATTTTCTATCCTACTTTTCACTTATTTTTGTATACTAATGAAAGATATTACTTAAATATAGTATTAATGAACTATTTCTTAAGTGAAGGACAAACATTTAATAGAACAAACATTAATAGAACAAACATTTACAAAAGATACATAGTAATGTTTAGGAGACAGAAGCCTGGCACTAACCATTTGTCATTATTCAATTCCTTTTCTCAATTCAGGGAAAATCATATTTGCTGCCTCTCTAGAGTAAATGAAGTAAATGAGATTACCTTGTTTGATATTTGCGGGCATCATTAGGAGTTGAAGCCCATATTGATTCAAATCTTCTATTACTCTGTTGAATACGTCTTTTAGAATTTGTTGCTGTAGTTCTGATTCAAAGCAGGAGGATATAGGAATGTTCATCACTAGATAAATTTTCAATGTAGTTTTATTTTGTGGGGTATACTTCATACAAAATTTTATTAAGCTCTTTGAAAATTTGTCTTTTTGTACATTAAATGCCCTGGACTTCAAACAGTGGATGGTGTATACAATATGAATTAAACTTATCTGCATTATGAAGGTGCACCCTTTAGACTGGATTCTAAGAAGCTCGTATCTCAGTCTTTATATCCAGGACAATGCTGTATGCTTTGGCTTAAATTTCAATTACAAAATTTATTGTTAAAGAATATCTGAATAATGGTTGTTTCATTGACAATGCTGAATGCTGTGGTGCGGAATGGAGAAAAAGTGTTTTTGAATTCAGAGTGGGTACATATTATCCAGTATAGAATTACTTACCTGGAACAGGGTTACTTGTGTAAATATATGGCTATTTCTAGAGCAAAGTAAAGCTACAACCTATAGAATGAAAAAAAATAAGTTTTACAGATGTTTAGTATTTAGAATATACAAAGAACTCATAAACATAACCAACAATAAAACAAGCAATGCAACTAAAAAGTGTGGCAGGAATGAAACTGATAGTTTAGCACCTTATTTCTCAAATAATGAAATGAAAATGGCTGAGAATTAAAAAAAAAAAGTACAGCATCCTTATCTGAGAAATGTAAATCAAAGTACTCTGAGATTTAACTGCTTTGAGATTTCGTATTACCCTCATCAGAATTGCTGGGATTTAAAAAAAAAAAAAAAAGACAAATGATAATGACTTGGATGTGGGTAAAGGGAAACTCTTGTCACTGCTGGTAGGAGTGCAGACTGCTGCAGCCACTATGGAAATTAGCGTGAAAGTTCCTTGAAAAACTAGAAATAGATCTCCCATAAGATCCAGCCAGAGTACTCTTGCGCTTATACCCAAAGGACTCTATATTGTAATGTAAAGATACTCGTTTATCCACGTTCACTGTTTATTCATTTGTATTCACAATAACTAGGAAATAGAAAAACCTAAATGTCTATCAATTGAAGAATGAATAATGAGTCTACAGTACCTTTGAGTAATAAATTCTTAGTCAGCTGTTAAGAGAAATGAAATTTTAAAATGTGCATGTAAATAGATGGAGCTGGAAACAATCGTCCTGAGTGAGGTAACCAAGATCCAGAAAAACAAACGTTGCATATTTTCTCTCATATGTGAATGCTAGCTTTGAATCACTAGAAATGTGTTTCATTTGGAAACCCCACAGATGTCAAGAAACTAGTAAAAGGCCATGGAGGGAAGGGTTTCAAGGGAGATGGAACTACATGATATAAAGGGAGAGAGGGAATAATGGAATAGGGAGTGTTCAAAGGGGAGGTGTTGGAAGGGCAGGGTAGACCAGGAAGTATGGGGAGGGAGGACTAACACTAGGTGTCCTCCTCTTTGTTATTCTCAAGAACTTGACAACAAGAGGTTATTGCTGAACACAGTGCATACTTAAGTCCTAGGACACTGGAGAAATCAAGCAGGTCCTGACCTCAAATCTTCATCTCTATGGGCTAGCTTTCACAGTGCTGGAAAGTGCTGTAAATGCTGCTAGAAGGGAAAAGCAATCATCAGTCTTATCCAGCTGTGGCTCCAAGCTACAGTAAAGACTGGTCTGGCAATATAGGCCCACTGTCATAACGGTGTTATGTAATGGAAGTAAACAAAGCAAGAAATATTCAGGAGTTTATTCTGTTGACAGTAATTGTAAAACACCTTGGAGATAGTGTCTTGTAACAGTTTTTTAATCTTTCAACTTCATCCTATATTCATTGAGAATTCATTAAGAATTTGAAAAACCAATAAATAGAAAAAGCTCACTGTCAAATGAAGGTACATATCTGTAAATAAAGGAAAGCTGTGGTTGCCACTAGAGACAAATCACTTAGTACGTTAACCATCTTACATTATTATATGCTTGACACTCATTGTCTTAAAGTCTTCAGCATGCTTTACTAGTCTGGAGAGAACTAGATCTTTGACTTCATTTGGTAGAAAGGTAGCTAAAGGAAAAATCTAGTTTCCCTCTTCACTCTGAGATGAGACAGGCTTTGGGAGATTTTATACCTCATCAGGGAAAGATTTTATGCCTCATCATTTATGAAAGAATCTTACTTAAAGAAGAAGAGTAAAAATATTTCATTAATTGAAAGGAAAACAATCTTCTGAAGTCAGTTTAGAAATAATCTCTATTGTGGTCTATCTACAGTTAGGTAGAAGGGAGTTATGCTGGTGTACTTTCACCCAGAAAAATGTCGCCACATTTATTTACTGCATGCTTCACAAAGCTGGAAGGAAGAACTTTGAATGCTTTTGCTATAAAGGGATGCACGTTTGGGGATACGTATTTAATCTAACTTAAACATAATCGCTGTATGTATCACAAGTATGCAACTGAAGCAGCACATGAAGAATACAAAGTTTGGTTTCATGAATTATCTAAAATCAAATACGATTTAGATTGGAAACATGATTTTTTGTTTACTTGCCCTATAAAAGTATTAGAAACATGGTCCTGTGTTTCTACAGTTCCTTAGTCTTCCCCACCTTCCCCCTCTGGTGAGGCTGAATTTCACCGCTGACTTCACTTGGAACACTGGAAGCATCTATAACAACTTTGTAATTCCTGTGTGAAACCTATGTTCTGGTACTTGATATGTATTGGCAATCACTTTACAATCTTCACTTTTAAAAACATTTTTAGATAGTCTTTCCATTTAGAAGCCAGGAATTTGTATAAAACCACAAAGGTTATGTTGTGTTTGAACTAAACGCTGTTGGTTTGTGGAATTTCCTTTAACTGGAAACACATACAAGTTCTGTGGTTTAGGTGTTTTCAGTTTTATACTGTCGTGCTTATTTTCATTTTAAAAGGTGGGGAATTTACCATTAACTTTCATGTTTTATAAAGCGCTAACATTTTCCTTTCTTCATTCTTTTTAAAAATATTTTTCAGTTGAGAGAGACAAGGACTTTTCTCACCAGCGAAGGCATTACAAAGAGTTTCGGTTTGATCTGACCCAGATTCCACACGGAGAAGCAGTGACAGCAGCTGAATTCCGGATATACAAGGACAAGACCAACCAGAGATTTGAAAATGAAACAATTAAGATTAGCATATATCAGATCATGAAGGAATACACAAATAGGTACCAACTTTATGTCAACTTCCTATTCTAGCAAACAAATACTAAATTTTACTTGAAAGTCATTGATTAGCTGTGTGATTTAAAACATGTTTTCTTTGAATGAAGTGAGATTAAAGGCCAGGTAGACACCCACTGAAAAGTAAGACTAGGGAGCTGGAGAAATGATTCAGTGGTTAAGAGCACTTGCTGCTATTTTGAGGATCAATACTCAGTTCCTGCATCCATGGCAAGTGGCTCACAACCACCTGCTACTCTAGCTCCAGGGGCTCTGACCTCTGCTGCTGTTCTCCTTGGACACTTGTATTCAAGTGCACATACATATACACAGATATACACATATACACATAAAAAATTAAATCTGAAAAATAAAAGTAATTGGTTAGAAAAATTCTTTCTACATTTCAATCTACAGAGTTTTCTACTATTGACATCAATTTATATATCAAATGACTTCCTGCTACTCCCTATGTTCTTTCTTGGCCTTCTGTTTCATGTTCCAAGTTGTCTTTTAACCTAAAAAACTTCAATTTTAGTCTGCCTACATGAAATTATTGTCCACGATTATTTAAACAACTTCGCATTCTGTAAGTTAGAGGCGAAAAAGCACTGCTAAGGGTAAATTTTATGTGCATGGTTTATATATATATGTTGTTTTTGAATAAAGAGGGTTCTAGTCACAATTGTTTCTGACAGATAACCAGTATGTTTCCTCTCCTAAGATACAGGCATTGAAAAATGTATGAAAACCAATAGACTAAGACATTAATTCCATGAAAAACTCACTGATAAGGGATAGATGCAAATAAATGAAGGGACCTTAGGATCTGACATTTAACCTAGCACAGAAATCATGGGAAACACGTTTAACAGGTGATTAATTCTGTTTGTTAGAGAGTTGATATGTGAATAGCTGCCCATCTTCTAGTAGCTTCCACTAATGGATCCAGACCTTTTTTTATTAATATTTTCACATTTAAAATTTCATTTTATTCTAACTGTATTTTTTTCTATAATGTACTCCATAAGGAAGGAAGGCTATTACTGTATACCATTTCTTTTAACCCTCAACATTACACTACCCATTTGGTGGATCTGAATTAATATTTTGATATCACTGTTGTTCATGGTTGAAATACATTAACATTCCTAAAATGTTTGAATTACGTTTACTTTTTAAATTTTTATTCTTTTATTTTATGTGTGTGAGTGGTATGCCTGCATGTAGGTAAGTCCACCCCTGTCGTGCAATGCCTGCAGAGGACAGAAGAGGCTGTCAGATCCCCTAGAACTGGACTTACGGAGAGTTTTTAGCTGCCATGTGGGTGCTGGGATTTGAAACCGAGTCTTCTGCAAGAACATTCAATATTCTTAACCGCTGAGCCATCTATACAGCCCCAGGAATTATGTTTACTTTTAGTCATCCACCTGTATTTTAATGCACATTTAAGTTGCCCTTGGTTAATTAACATCTCAAGTATTTTTTAGAATAATCCTTGATATACCTGGTCTTACTCATCTGGAGTATTTTGATTGAATCTAGATACAGAGTTCTACACTGACCAAAATAAAATGACAACTTTTATTCAGGTTCTCTTACAGTTTGGATGTTGAATGTATCTCAAAGGTCCATGTGTATTTAAGGTGTGATCCCCAGAGTGGAACTGTGGAGAGGTGCTCTAGACCTTTAAGAAGTGAGGTAGGACTTTATGACTACAAAGAGTATTGGGAACGGTTGCCCCATGTTTGTCCATGCTTTGCCTCCTGACTGATGAGAAGAGTGTTTTGTTCTGCCATAGGCTGTACTCCATTGCAATAATAAGAAGCTGACTAATACAAGTCCATTGCTCCATGTGCTCAGGATAATTTTGAATGCTAACCCTTATAGATCTGTTTTAACTTTCCCCAAACTATCAAATGCATCTCTTTACCTATACACACACACACACACACACACACACACACACACACACACACACACACACAAGATAGCATAGATGATAGATAGATGATAAAAGATAGGTCGATAGATAAATGATAGATGATTGATAGATAGAACATAGATAGATAATAGATAGATGATGATAGATAGCAGATAGATAGATGATAGATAGATAGATCGATAGATAAATAGATAGATGATAGATGCATAGATACATAGATGAGGGCATCCCTGACAGTTATTTTAATAATCACCTACTCTGTGTTCTTTTATTAGTGTATACGATCATAAATCAAAGAAGATTATATTAAATTATGTGACTCTATGCTGACAATTTATTAACAGCTCTGGTATTTGCACTTGGAAAAGCCTGCAGCTTATCAAACTCACCATGTAGCCGTGTTTGCCCTAGACTTCCAGATGACCCTCTTGCCTAAGACTTCTGAGTTCTGGGGTCATAGACATGAGACAATATAATGGCTTACCTATTTTCTAAGTCTATTAAGACATTGCTGGAAATCAGAAAAAAAAATGCTTAATGGAAGAATACACTGCTAATAATGTATGAACCCATGCTGATTTGTGTTCATTTGGTTACATTTTTGTTTTTTGTTTTGTTTGTCTTTGAGAAAGAGTGTCATGAGGCCCAGGCTAGCCTGACTGTGTACCTGAAGTGGGCTTGAACTTCAGATCTTCTGTCCCAACATTCTATAGTTAAATGTTATTTTAAGAAAAAAAAGTTAACATTAGAAATGCCAGATAACTTAAATATGTTTATTTGATCATTATACAATATACATGTACCTCACACTTTACACCATAAAAATGTGCAATTATTTTCTGCTAAATAAAAAATAACAATTTTTAAATTGATAGTAAAAAAGAGAATAGTAATGTATAGTGACAAGAGTATAGACTTTAAAAATAGAAAATTGCTTCATCTTTGGAATCTCAGGATATAACTTAAATAATTAAAACAATAAAGTATTTCAAAGTGAAGACATTTATTTATTTATTTATTTATTTATTTATTTATTTATTTATTTATTTTTATTTTTGAGACAGGATCTCCTTGTAGCCCCTCCTGTCCTGAAACTCATTATGTAGGCAGGCCAGGCTGGCCTCGAACACCTCACAAAGATCCGCCTGCCTATGCTTCCCAAGTGCTGGGATTAAAGGCATGCACTACCATGCCCGGCGAAGACAGTTATTTTGAATGTGTTAGGAAAACTAATGCTTTTCCAAGTGCAAGTATCAGATTTCATAATAAATTAAGTCTCATCATTTAATACAATCTTCTTTTGTTTATGAACTCACAGAGACTCACGTCTCTGCCTTTTGAGTGCTGAGTTTAAAGGCATGTGCTATTTTGTTTTGCCATGAGCATTTTTTTTTTTTTTTGGTCTTTTTGAGACAGGGTTTTTCTGTAACCCTAACTGGCCTAGAATTTGTTATGTTGACCAGGCTGGCCTCAAACTCACAGAGATTGCCTGCCTCTGCCTTCTGAGTGCTGGGATTAAAGGCATGGCCTCCACTCTCAGCTGCATGAGTGTGATTTTTATCAGAAATGATTATAGCTAAGATTGTAGCTGAGAAGGAGGACTGGAGGACAGAGGGAGGGAGGAAGAGCGAGAGAGGAGAGAGAACTTTGTGTTACATATATGCAACTATTAATGTTCCCAGCTTTTCCCAGGTAAAAGGAACATTTAAATATTAGGATTCAAAAATAAGTTTTTCTTATGTGCTGTAATAAATATTTTCTCTTTATTTCTTCTAAAATTCAAATATATCTTTAGAAGTATTAACTATATTTATGCATACATGTATGTATATGTTATTCTTTAAAGAACTAAAAATGAAGTAGGAAAAGAAATAACTTGAATTTTCAAAACAAATCTCATTTATCAAAACTTTCATCATCCAAGATAGATTTTTTTTTATGTGGTATTTTCAACAAAACTCGGGACAGTTAAAGTTCTTATGGATTATATTTTAAAGTAGTGCCTTCAACAGTACATACTTATAACGTATGAGAAACACACCTCCCCAAAGGGGAGTTTGGTTGGGTTCCTTGCTATACTTTACCCTGATGTTTTTGGATGGTTTCTATTCAAGGCATCATCTGACCTATTAACCAGTGTGTCTGTGAATTATCTGACAGTGTTATGTAATCAAATTTCAAAGCTGAACAATCCATGATGTCATTTCTTTCCCTACTTATTTCTTCTAGCAAGATTTACAACTCTTT